AAAACCGCGTCAATTTTAAAACAGTACATTGTAAAGTTGTTCTAAAAATTGTAAGTTAATACTTACCCATGTGTTAAGTTATAAAATGAAATAAAAGCTAGCAAGTTATAATGTTATTATGTTGAAAAAAGAAATAGTAAAAATGTAGTGCTTCTGCCGCCAAGTCTAGTTCGTTCGCTCGCAGTCTAGTTTCGAATTGAATTATAACTATCTGAATTGACGATATCTTTATATCCTATAAAAGCCTTCCAGATATGGCAGAATAAATATGTTTTATATTATACTTCAAGGTATGCTAGATCATATCTATAAATAAATAAAATATTCAATTGAGTTTCTTGCCAGTTATTCTCAATTGGATCTATATACTGAACTGGACGGTAGGGAAAACAATTATAATATAAAAAAAATTACGGTCATAAGCGGCTAAAATGTCGTAGATGAATAAATGATATTTGAATTTTTGAATTTTAAAGGAAAAAGAAAGGAAAATAGGCCAGACTCTATACATGCAAACGCTATTATTAAAACTCTACAAGGCAATAACTTTTTAAATCAGGAGTAAGTCCTGGATTAGTAAAAGCTAGTTTGATACTAATTAGGACAATTCCCACAGCGCCATCTTGTTTTAAACTAAGTAGAAATTGTAGTATGGGCACAAAATAACTGATAGAAATATATATTCGTTTATGTAAATACATGAATAGTGTAAATATAAAAGACCAGGTATGTATCATTAATACAAATAACATACAGTCATACTGATAAATACAAGTGTTTTTTCTCATCCGTCATACTCGTGAACAGGTGCTGCGGACCCGACTGGTCTGTTCGAGTTACGAACACTGATTAGTGATTAGCTTTAACAATAGCATACGATGGTCCCTCTATTTTCCCAAATTTAAATTTAAAAATGAATCTGTATTATTGTATACGTGTACAACGTTTATTTGAAAAGAATATGAGCTGAGTTTCTTGTCAGTTCTTTTCATCTCGAAATCATTACGGACTGACGGTAGATTTGATATATCATAAGAGTCTGTAATAGACCTACATGAATAATTCTGAATTGAATTGTATTGTATTATGCGAGAACTGGACTCACGACTATCGGCATTTAAGACGTCTGGAACTCCAGCGTCTTTTCCCAATGTACACTAATCTTCTGAGCAGCGAGGTCGACCTGAGTTTGTAGGTACTAGGAACCTTCTGCATTTCTAGCAGGAGCTTGGCTGGCTTTTATAATAATCTTGGATCTAGAATATAATCAACTATTTTTAAAATATTTGCAAGGATATACAGTGTACAACGCAATACGAGACTCAATATCTTTATCATTATCATTAAATAGTATAAAACAAAGTCGTTGTCGCTGTTTGTCCGTCCCTATGTATGGTTAAGTCTTTAAAACTACGCAACGGGTTTTTTTTAATAGATAGAGTGATTAAATAGGAAGGTTTATATGTATAATACATGTCCACCCAGGCAAAGCCGGGTTGGGTAGCTAGTATAGTATAAAACAAAGTCGCACGTTTATCTATTTAATTACGCAACGGATATTAATGCAAATTTTGAACAATCGATAGAGTGATTCAAGAGGAAGGTTTATATGTATAATACATGGGTGTTATGGTATAGAATAAGTCTAGAAATTAAAAAAATTGTAATGTATCCGTGTGAGGCCGGGCGGGGTCCCTATGTATGGTTAAGTCTTTAAAACTACGCAACGGATTTTGAAGCAATTTTTTTATAGATAGACCGATTCAAGATAACAAAGGTAACAATAGTGAATTAAATGGCGAGTAGCTAGTTTATTATAAACGTAAGTAGGTTTACAATAATAAATCATTGAAGTCCCGGCGGTGCTATATAATAGTAATAATAGTAATAGTAATCTCAGGACAATTAACACAGCGCCATCTAGACCCAAGTTAAGCTAGCTAAAGCTTGTGTTATGGGTCCTAGACAACTGATACAAATACATAGATATTTTTTTTTTTCCTAAATACATACATATTATACATAGAAAATACCCAGACCGATACAAACAATCATACTCATAAATACAAATGTTTGTGCCGTGCGAGGAATCGAACCCGCGACCATCGGTCGTAAAGCGGTATGCTAGACCGCTAGACCACCGAGGTCGTCAATATATATATCAGATAGTTTTTTTTATTACAAATGTATATAGTTTTCTCTTATATCTTTTATTATAGAGCTAGACCCATGAGACGTTGATTTATGTTCCGCCGTTGACCTGGTTTCATAGGAAACAGGTCACACGTTGCAGTGCCTGCGTTTGATGCAGGATAACAGGGGGTTTTAACATAAAACCGCCGAGATAAAAGCATGCTTTCAACTTTCATCGACGTGCATTTTTTATAAAGGATACCGTAATGAGGTCAGAGACGTGCTTTACTAGTTACTTGCTGGCCTGTGGTTTTACCTCCATGAAGCCTATGTGTTATTCTGATGTATAGCTATATTACTGTAAAGTTTCATCAAAATCCGTTGTGCAGTTTTTGCGTAAAAAAGTAACAAATATTGATCCATCCGTCTATCCATATGTACTCACAAACTTTCGCGTTTTTAAAATTAGTAATATGTCTACTGCTTGTAATTGAACTTTTATGTGTGTACTAAAATAGAAATAAAAATTTCTATCTATCTATCTATCTACCTGAACAATATCAGCTAGAATATGCCAGACGGAATTTAAAAAATTACTGAATTTGTTTTTATTTTTTTATTTATTTTCACACTTTTTTGCAATAGAATAGTAAAAAAAATGTGACGCAGATAAAAGGCTGATAGGTCCTAATAATACTAAATATAATCCACTCAAAACTCTATTAGATACTAAAGGAAAATATGTCATGTCAAAATATGTCAATCACCTTATTATTTTTAACCAAGGTAGACTATATGATGACGTCGTCGTCAGCCGCTAAGCAGCTTGTATTGTAAGATCTTCGGTTAAGGCAATCTTAAGGCAGTTATTTAAAGGATAGGATAGGATGATGCCTGACATTTATATCTTCTGGTATGGCAACGCGTATGTGCCACGGGCGTCGTGTCATAACAATTATTCTCTGCACTATCAATAGTGTACTTGTAGAAAATGCTGCATGGTAAAACGTAGTCGAGAGTTTAAGGTCAGCCAAATGTACTATTGTATTGTGTCCATTAAAGTTAAAGAAATAAAGTAAATTATTGTGTCATATTTATGTTGATAGGTGACGTTTATCACTTACGAAGGTAGGTGGCGTGCTCAGAATGTTGTGTACCTGTCGTTTGTTTTTCTTGCCAAGAAATAACAAGACGATAATAATATGTTGTTGTAAAAGCCCGTATATTGCTATAACTTAGGTTGTACTAGTAAATCTTAGGATCTACCAACGTGGTTCTAATGTTAGCGTAATAAAAAAGCAATGTTTCTTACGGCTTGTACCACTTATGCGCACCCCTAATGCTTCGGAGTTAACGTTAGAAATTTAATGTTCTTTTTTTTAGGATATTTTCACATATTGTATATTTATTTGATTTTGAATATCTCTCTCTTTTTCACTCCCAAAAACGTAAACTCAAAAAACATTGCAGATACTCGTATGTATATAGAATATATATGTGACCTTATTGGTTTTTATTATCTATAGAGACTAAATAAGTTTCTCATCCGAGCGTCGCGCAGCAAATTCCGTTCACAGATATCTGGGCTTACAAAAGGTCGGCCTTATTGAAGAGGCTACACTTTCTTCTAATAGGTCAGACAGGCTTTTGTTATGTGTTATTCGCAAATTATACTATTGGAATATAAGATATTTTTCTATCACGTTAGAAACTTTAAATGGGGTATTTAGAGATAACAAACTTGAATGTAACGTAACTATGGATTTTACTGTCACGGAAGATCTTTCCCAGACACAGACACAATTTTTGGTTACGGCCAGATTGCAACTCCTAACCAATCCATAATTATGAGTCGATGTGGTGCACCATATACCACCACACTAATTCTTAATGATTTCTAATTAAATCAATATGATTCAAATAACAGTCTAGGGATCTTTGGACTCAACAATGATTTTGTCGTACATATTAATAGTCCGCCACGATGCGTTCTTCAACATCAACCAGCGTCTCATTGTCCAGCAATCATCGAAGTAACTGGAGACGATTTAGCACTTTGAACATCCGTCGCAAGCAATGAACTATTATCTGCATTGAATAGACATACGTACATTGAACGTGATTGATGAGACTCTTGGCTTCCTAGCCCGAGGAGGTCCTACCTATGTTGTTGTCAATGTTGTTTTGAATTTATATAAATTGATAAAGAATAATAATTTTAACAATTTGGTACCTGAAGGTTGAATTAAATTAATGATGCTTTAGTCTCGTGATAAATTGCGTACTTAATTTTCGTTAATCAAGTTATGTTTGATAAGGCCTTCGACTTTGTTTTAACGATGTCGCATTAGCCTCCGAATCTTGGACTCTTTAGTTCATACAATTTTACTTTCAGACTTTATGGGCATTCTTATAGGCAACTAATTTCATAGAATGGTATAGAAAATCATTTATTCAAATGTAAGTTACATTGAAGCACTTTTGAATAGTAATCACATTTTTTTTTAATTTACCGCTCATCACAAGAAGAACGAGCAAGACACTTGCGTGTTGCTCTTTTAAATAATTTTATTGTTACTTTACATTTTAAGTTGAAGTGTGTGAATACAAACTACCAATTCATTTTAATTCTATTTCAATTCAATTTAATACTACGACTATGATAATAATATTTTTTAATTACCAGCACATTCAAATTAGAAACTAGTGGCCCATGTATTTTTATAGTAAAGAATTACAAAGTGTGAACTCAAATTATACAGTTTAATTTTATCAGTTAACCTTTGCTCTTATAATTCAATAACCCCGGCTCGTAGGAATTATAATGTACATTTTCTAAAGTGACATGTTCGTTTCTCATATTCCAGCATGAGGTCACGGCAGTGGGGTGGTGTCCGCATGGAAGCCCGGCGGACTGGTGATCACGCGCTGCACACGCTGCGAGCGCAGTTCCGCCGCGCCCTGCCGGAATGGACCGCGCGTGCCTCCCGCCACCGCCGGACTGCGCGAACTATCGGCCGATCCAAGGAGGACCCCGCGAAACCCCTGATACCCCAGCCCCGTCCGCGGAGGCCTTAAACGACCCAGAGACTCCGCGGCCCGCGCCGCGCGCGCTTCCCTCTATTCCCGAGAGCGAACCTCTCCTCCGCGACCCGCTCAGTGTCAGTGCTATCAGTGATAATGTTTCGCGGAAAACGAACGGTCGTGCCCTTCATGTGCAGTTTGATGCGCAGTCGCCTCCGGCGCCCGTATCCGTCTCCAGCTCTAGTTCGAGTTCTTCCGACGACGAGGATGTGTCGATTGCGGAAGCTCGGCCCCCGGACGGTGGATGGGGTTGGGTAGTTGTATTCGCTTCCTTCATGGTGAACCTCATCGCCGACGGAATTACCTTTAGTTTCGGCGTCTTCTTCCCTCATTTCCTCGAGTATTTCGGCGAGGGAAAAGGAAAGACGGCATGGATCGCGGGGATATTCATGGCAATGCCCCTTCTCTCTGGCCCAATTGCCAGTTTTTTAACGGATAGGTATGGATGTCGACGCATGACCATATTTGGCTCTATTCTGGCGACCATCGGATTTGTTATTTCCGCATTTGTAGACAATATGGAGACTCTATTTTTGACATTCGGCATTATGGCCGGCTTTGGTTTGAGCTTGTGTTATGTAGCGGCAGTAGTCATAGTTGCTTATTATTTTGAAAAGAAACGTTCCCTTGCTACTGGAATTTCTGTCTGTGGGAGTGGTATTGGAACTTTCATATTTGCTCCACTGACAAATCTCTTACTGGACGAGTACGGTTGGCGTGGAACCACACTAATATTAGCGGGACTATTCCTAAATATTGCTGTTTGTGGAATGCTCTTTAGAGATTTACCATGGACAACTACGATGAACGAGGAGAAAGCTAAAGAAAGGAAACGTAGACGAGAAAGAAAACGACATAAGCGATACGGCTCTTCTGTTGATAGCTTCTCAGATAGTAAGAGCAGTGCAGCTGGTTCGACTAAAGTTGATAAAGTGGATGTTGAAGCCGTAGTGTCACCAATTGTTCCTCAATTTAGCTCTTTAGTAGACTTACCAACTTTCATGACTGGTGGTGAAGGCATTTCGCTTGAGGTGTTCGAGTTGATGTCAAATAAAGGTCGAGCATATGCGATACTGGCTCAGAATTATCCTGGTGTAATGTTGCCATCTAGAAGCTTCAGCGACAGTGGAAGACTTCATGAGCAGTCCCCACCTAGAGCTTTAATGTCTCCTACCACACCTGGGGCTATGTCACCCACAGCTACACGAGCTCCAGAAAGCAATAACACATCAGCCCCTCTGAACGATAAAGCGGCTATATCGCTCTGGTTGAGACGACAAGGAGCGACGGGTGCTTCTGTTTCCAAGAAACCTCCGGCATTTCTTAAAGATCTAAGGGTACATAGACATTCCCTTACCTACAGAGGTGCTATGTTGAATATCAACAGATACAGGCTTCGAGCTTCTTCTTGTCCCAACATCTTCAGGAACTCAATGACCACCATTGCTAAAGAAAAGGTAGGTACAATATCTTAAAGTTTCTTATTTTTTATTTTCATAATTTTGTTATTATAATGGTAGATATAAGTTTTCTGCCCAAGTTTCAGCCAAGTTCGTAAATTGTCACAATTTTTTAACAACATGTATGAATTATGAGTATTATGAAAGTAGACAATTCAAGAGATAGACATATGTAAATATATTAGCTATAGATACTTTATTATTTCTACCTATACCGTAAAGAATTTGTGGATAGATTAACTGGCAGGACTCAGATATATATTCCCGAAAAAAAAACTACAAATCTATCAGTTTTAAATCTTCCTTGTACTTCCATATTACGATACCTTATACGCCATTCTCATGATTAAAAAGGGCTAAGAAAGAACTAATATTTTGTGGTTGCTTTTATTTATATACAATTGATGCAGTATATTGTATATGGCGTCATACATTATGTTGGATTACGAATCCTTATGAATTAATATATAAAAGAGAGAGTGGACTGTATTTATTAAAAAGAAAATAATTAATGGAAAAGGAAGTAAAAATACGATTTCGACCTGGAAGAACGTCTTCCACACTCCGAACACCCCAAAGTAAGCAATGTAACACCAAACTTACCTTTGCTCAGGAACGTCCCGATGTGCGTGGCCACTAAACAGTACTACACGTACTGTTTAGTGGCCACGCACTCTAGAGTGTATATTTTCATCAAAAACATATATATTGTGTTAAATAAATCATTAATTATCTTGTTTTATATAGATAAAAATACGGAGCGTCCTTTTAGTTCCAGTTCTTATTTATCAATTGTTTTATTATTCTTTTTTTGAAATTTAAGTGGCCACATGTTTTTATATGTGGCCAGTATCACCGAGCGCCCTTTGCTCCAGTGAGCAACCCGGTGATACAACCTGCTTAGACTAAGGAGGTTCTGAATCCGGAACACATTACATACGTGTTATAATAATAATAATAATAACTTTATTGTGCAAAAAAACAAATACAAAAGGTTATATATCTATATTAATTCATATATAACAATAGTTCTTAAAACTATTTGTATATTATATATATATATATATATACTAGCTGTACCCGCGACTTCGTCCGCGTAATATAGTGACCTTGAGCAAATAATAAAAAATATATATTAATAATCTAACCCAATAAAAAGTTTCATGGTTCTAGCTTCAAAAATGAAATTTCCATACATAATTCCATACAATTCAATCAACAGCCAAAAACTAAGTTTCAAACTACTATCTTTAAAATGTACTTCCATACATACCATACATACATTACATCTCCCCTTTCAACCCCTTATAACCCTTTTTCTTGTTTTTTTTAATGCTACTTATATTAGTGTCATCATGTACCAATGATAAGATGTCGCTATACTGTAACCATTTATGGCTGAGTCCTGTGGCGGTAGGAACTGATATTTTCTCAACAGCCTAAAAAATGGGTTTCAAGTTTCTAGCTTTAAAAAATGACAATACGTGCATACAACATTTTAACTCCCCTTTTGACCCTTACAACCCATTTTCGTTAATTTATATTTAATCAATACGCAAAAAAATAAGATTGAAGCTTAAACTTTTAAAAAATTCCTCTTTCAGTCTCTTATAACCCTTTTTAGCATTAAAAAGTAACCTATGTCCTATCTCAAGATCTAGACTTTAAATTTCATTTAAATCAGTTCAGAAGTTTTGGCTTTTAAGACAGACAGACAGAGTCACTTTCACTTTCATAATATTAGTAAGGTATTTATTAAATAAACTGACCCAAAAAAGCGTAAGAAAAAAGCTTCATCGTTCTAGCTTCAAATATGACGAATTTCCATAAAAACTTTTATCTGCTATTTTATTTTACCCCTTGAATGGTGACAATGTGATATTTACAAATTTAAATGTCATATTTATTTATATTTAATAAACAGTTTAAACATTTCTTTAAATTCTTTTGAAAATTGGTGGTCCAGTTGGCCAATAACATAATAAAATTTTGTTAAATCAAAATAATAGATGTGATATTCTAAATTTATATCCCTCTATTGCGCGAACCATATCTCTGACTCTACTGGCCAGAATGGAGAAACGCGTATTCCGAACCTGAATAGCTCGGATGGAACGGTAGATGTTGTTTCTTCCAAGGAAATGTTGTTCATATGTATTGACAACATTTTTAATATTATATGTTGTTTTATTCTTCAAAAATATGAATAATATATTCTTACGCTCTTGTCCAAGAGCAGGGTCATCAGTTATAGGCTATACCAGGATTATATTTATGTATTTATAAAATAAAATTGCAGAGCAAACGTTTATTCATTTAAATTCATAAGGAGACAACGGATTGACAATAATGTGCGCGCTTTATACAAATACATATATTTATGACATATGAGCGTTAATAAGTCGCATATCTAGTACAATACTGGTGTAATTCAAAAAAATTTTTGAAAATAGACTTAATAACACAATTATAAAGTAGACTTTCCATATAATTTTTTAGTTAAGCTTATTATAATAAGTGTGTATTCAACCGCATAAAGATAACCTTGCATTACCATTTTCAACCCCTTACAACCCTTTTTTCGCATTAAAAAGTAGCCTATGTCCTTCCTCGGCGTCTAGACTATATGGGTACCAAATTTCATTTAAATCAGTTCAGTAGTTTTGGCGTGAAAGCGAGACAGACAGACAGACAGACAGACAGACAGACAGAGTTACTTTCGCATTTATAATATTAGTAAGGATATATATATATACTAGCTGTCCCGGCAAACTTTGTTTTGCCATATAAATTAATAACGCTATAAAAAAATAGGGGTTGATGATAGAAGGGTGAAAATTTAGGATTGTATGTATTTTTGTATGTTGTATCATAAAAAAATAGAAACTAAAAATATTGTCTAAAAATAAAAAAAAGAAATTTAGGGGTGGACTACCCCTAACCTTTAGGGGGATGAAAAATAGATGGCCTATTCTCAGACCTACTCAATACGCTCACAAAATTTCATGAGAATCAGTCAAGCCGTTTCGGAGGAGTATGGGAACAAAAACTGTGACACGAGAATTTTATATATAAGATATATATATGTGTGTTATACTATATATATTTAGTTTTAATGGAATGGTCGCTCATCATGACGAATTCACTAGGAATTCATGATGATGGTTTCCAGAAGGAACCGCGTCAACCTGACATGGTATATTGCAATGGGGTCATCAGTCCATTACTAACAATACCTTTCACCTATATGAACTTAGTGTAGGTAAGAAAATGATTGCAAAGCACTTACAATGGAGTGCCCCAGGACAGTAGTTCTAAATTGACATTATCCTTTCCAGGTTCAATGGTACGCAGGTCTCTGGGACTTTTGGGATCTAGTCGTGGACGTGCTGGATTTCTCCCACTTCCTCAATCCAGCGTTCCTGGTGTTCTCCCTGTCTAACTTCCTGCTGTACATGTGGTACGACGTGCCGTACGTGTATCTGACGCATAATGCAATGTCGATAGGATACACCGAGTCGCAGTCGTCGATGCTGATCTCGATTATTGGGATATTGAACATGTTTGGTGAGGTGAGTGGGCAATATACTGTTTTAAATTTGATGCAGTATTAAACAAAGTCGCTGTCGCTGTCTGTCCGTCCCTATATATGCTTAAATCTTTAAAACTACGCAACGGATTTTGAAGCGGTTTGTAATAGATAGAGTGATTCAAGAGGACGGTTTATATATATAATATATGTATACCCGTGCGAAGCTGGGGTGGGTAGTTAGTTACTTATATATGTAACAGACATATAGACAGACAGACAGAGATACTTATAATATTAGTAAGAATATTATATATTTGTGTCATAACAGAAATATTCAGTTGTATTGAGGTCAAACCTATTACTATGGTGATTTAGATAACGCACCAACTCAGATAACATTGTAACGATACATATCTGTACTAATATATAAATGTGAGAGTTGTGTGTCTGTCTGTCAGCCGAGTCTGCGGTCCGAATGCTAATTTAATAAAAGAATGGACTAATCAAAGGTGCTTATATTAAGTTTATTTGAATAATAATCATCATAATCTGAAGGAAGACGTCCACTGCTGAACAAAGGCCTCCCCCAAAGATCTCCATGACGATCGATCCTGCTCTGTCCTCGTCTATCGCCATTAACCAACCTTGACCAGATGTTAGGTCTTGGGTGTAAATCCATTTGGGGGGATATTGCTATAATCGCACGCTTGCCATGCGGGTTGGCGATCGATGATGGTAGTTACTCCAGTAGAACGCTGCTGCCAGTCCACTGGTCGAGGACTTCCTTAGTTTTTGCCTCTTACGACACCTACGGGGAGAGATGGGGTGGTGCTATTCTTACGGCAATACCTAGAGGGCTTTTTTTTTTTATAATACATGGGACAAACGAACATGCGGCTCACCTGATGGTATGTGATTACCGCCGCCCATGAGCACCCGCAACACCAGGGGAATTGCAAGTACGTTGTCGGCCTTTTAAATGTCGGCCTTTTAAAAAGGAATAAGCTCTTTTCTTGAAGGTTTCAATATCGTATCGTTTCGGAAATACCATTGTTGGAAGGTGATTCCACAATGTGGCTGTGTTTAAGTTATTTCTATTATTATGATGCTTATATTATTTATATTGTAAAATGAAAAATGTCTGCTGATATGGTACTTTGATTTCTTCAGATATTGCTGGGCTGGGTGGGTGACTTCGAGCGTGTGAACGCAAGCCTGGTGTACGCAGCTTGCATGGTCCTGTGCGGACTGGTGACGCTGCTGATGCCGCTGCTGCAGACGTACGCGACCCTCGGAGCCGCCTCCGGGGCCTTCGGGGCGTTCATAGCGGCGAACTACTCCCTCACCAGCATCATACTGGTGGAGCAGATCACGTTGGAGAAGTTCACCAATGCGTATGGACTGTTACTGCTGATACAGGGTGTGGCTAACTTGATTGGACCGCCTTTGGCAGGTTGGTGCCTCTAATCTATTACATTTTTTTATAGGTCAATTAACACAGCGCCATCTAGTTCCACGGTAAGCAGAGCTTGTGTTATGGGTACTAGACAACTGATATAAATACTTCGATACTATTTTTTGTAAATACATACGGAATATACATAGAAAACATCCAGACCGTCACAATCATACTCATGGATACAAATATTTGCACCGTGCGAGGAATCGAACCCGCGACCATCGGAAGTAAAATCAAATCATAAAAAAAGTCTTAGAACGCGATCTGTCTTCGTTACATCCACAATACAAGTTTACAAAGTAATATTAAAATAAAAAATTCAAAATATCTTTATTCATTCAGATTTGACATATCATAAAAATCTATAAGACATTTTATCTACCAGTTCAGAGTGCTTTCGAGCTAAGAAGAATAGGTGGGGACCCACATTGAGGTCAAACTGACATGGTACATTGGTAGCATCAGTCCACATTACTCATAATGCCTTTCCCTATCCATTTCAGGCTGGATCTACGACATAACTGGTTCGTACGACCTCTCGTTCTACATGGCCGGCGTGTTCATCGGCCTATCAGGCGTCATACTGGTGATACTGCCGCTCTACAACTGTACCAGGAAACAGAAACAAGACCAGACCGACGAGCCGCGGATAGGGAATGGTGATGTGAAACAGAATGGCAAGCTTTTGGTGTAAGCAATTATTTTTTAATTTGAAATTTTACGGCCTTGGAATGTTATAAAACACACTGCTGTTATTAAGGATACCTTACACTGTCATATCGGTTGAAGCCACTTCCTTTTAATTTGAAATTTTACGGCCTTGGAAAGAAAACAAAACATACTGATATTATTAACGGCATATTACGCTGTCATATGTTTTTATTGATAAAATAAAGGATTCTTGAACGTATTAAGTATATAAGGCTCTGAATATAATATACAGTGTCTACATGTGAACTAAGACAGGTTGATAGAATTATATGTGTATACATACATATATATATAGTGTGAGGATTGAATCTGTAATTATTAGCCACTGAAAGTTGAAGCAAAGTATGAAACCGCTATACCACCGAGCTCAGTAAATAAAAGTATTAATGTTCTAATATCGGTAAATGTTTCACACAATTTGTATTGTATAAGAATGAATTGATGTGAACATTTTCGTTAATGCTCCTTAGTTATGACTATACGATGCTCTATCATATGATAGTGTAATAAGCCCTTAATTATTAACTGATTAATGATGAAATGCTAAATGCTAAATTATTGTATAATGTCTAATGAAAAAATTTGAAAATCGAATAATAATTAAACAGTTGTTCGATTTTTAAAATCTTGTACTTTTTAATTTGTTTCTCGAATAATATTCTTCGGATTATTGCATTATGAGGAATGAAAATTTTTGAAAATCGAATAATGAATAAATTGTACTTTGATTTTCGAGTTCTTGTATTTTTTAATTTATATCTCGAATGTCATACTTGGAAGTTTTGGCGCCAAAATTTATTTCTTTTTCTTTTAGTCTGTGGACCTTTTGGCATACAGCTATAAGTGACTACATGTTGCATCATATGTGAACGAGTTATATAGTATTTTTTTTTGTCGAAAATTCGTGTTATGGAAATGTTAAAACAATTTAATATTAAGATAATAGTAAAGACAATTTTTTCCTAATTGCAGTATATGAATATAGTGAGTAAAACGACTAATCAATTTTTACTCCTATGGAGTGAGGAAATTTGAGGATACATTTGAAATGTAATTGTATAATTAGTATAGTTATCGAGGAATGATACTTTAATTATGTAATACTGTTGCTAACAATTCTCATTTGAAATTAAAATACTCTTTTTAATACAAATTTGTAAAGCTTTTATCAGTACGAAAATGTTAGTTTTACAATTTTGTATGGAATCATGTAAGAGTGGTTACGATCCAACTTGTATGGTTCCCAATTGCAACTGTCAAATGGTCTTATAATTATATAATTGCAAAGTATTTCAATGTATCATAATTGTTAGCAACTGTACTGTGTAATGAACAGAAATGAACAGCGGGTGCGTAATTATTTAACGGTGTTGCAATCGATTTTTTTATGAAACGGTAAATTGAAATGTTTCTTTTTTGTATTCTGTTTAGCCTTTTAAGGAAAGGGAACTGTGCCATTGGTTGACAATGCGTACGTGATCTAGGCGTGTATAGGCTACTCACCATTTACCATCAGACGGGCCTTATGTACATTTGCCAGCGATGTGGTATTAAAAAAAAATAAGATTCAATTTTACCTTAAAAAAATAAGATTCTACCTTAATGCTTTTTGATGTAATAATTGAGTCAATGAATGACATTTTTATATCACTATAATATCTCAGGATAATTAACACAGCGCCATTTAGTCCCAAGCTAAGCAGAGCTTGTGATATGGGTGCTAGACAACTGATATTAAAACATATATACATGTTTTTTGTAAATACATACATTATATACATCGAAAACGATAAAGTTATTTAATTTCGAAATATACGACCTCGTGTAAGTGAAGAAATGAGATAGCATATCTCGTGTCTCATCAAAACGTTGCAATTTAGTATTTATTGAAGTATATTCCTGTAATAAATAAATTTAATTGAGGTTTTCGGCATATATCTAAATCTCTTAAAATCAAACTCAAAATATCTTTATTCATGTAGGTCTATTACAGACTCTTATGATGTCAAATCTACCGTCAGTTCGGAATGATTTCGAGATGAGAAGAACTGACAAGAAACTCAGCCCTTATTATTTTGAAGCTTGTACGTGATTGCAAAATTACAGATTCATTTTTTCAATTAAATTAGTTTAAAAATAAACTCGTAACAAAACTAATTTATAGTTTCATTTGATATTCAAATTTGAACATTTAAAGAATTTATTTTATCGAATTAGGTGTTGTAAGGCGGAAGTTCATTTTATTACTTAGGGGGCGTTCAAGTAATACGTAACGCATTTTGGGGGCGGGAGGGGTTGCCTCGTAAAACGTTACGATGCGTTACAGCGTATTTCTTACAACACGTTACGTAACAAAACGCCAAAAATTTATAAAAAACAAAATACGCATGTGTTCCGGATTAAAAATTGCTCATTTTATTTAGTATTATTACCGCAAAGACGATTAAAACTATACCAAGTATAAAAACTATAACACAACTTTTTGCGACTTTAGGGTCAAAATGGTCACTTGAGTGTTACGTAACGTTTGGGGGGAGGGGGGTACAGAAAAACGTTACAGTGCGTTACAAGGGGAGAAGGGGGAGGGGGGGGGGGGGGTCAAAAATCTTAAAAAATTGCGTTATGTAATACTTGAACGCTCCCTTAATGGATTTGTATTATTTTGTTTCATTCCGCTACCATTAGTATGTGTGAGATCAGTACTGGATAATCTCTCGTCCCACTCACCGAACAGTCAACACTAGGCTTCCAGACTATATCCAAACTCTATTCAATGCCTGATGATGTCTAGTTCAGAGGCGAATCACGTGTCGCAATAATAATAATATCAGGACAATTCACACAGCGCCATCTAGACCCAAGTTAAGCTAGCTAAAGCTTGTGTTATGGGTACTAGATACTAATACATATACATATATATTTTTTTTTGTAATAACATAAATATTATACATAGAAAACACCCAGACCGATACAAACAATCATACTCATGAATACAAATGTTTGTGCCGTGCGAGGAATCGAACCCGCGACCATCGGTCGTAAAGCGGTGTGCTAGACCACTAGACCACCGAGGTCGTCAATGTCGCAATATGGATGTAGACTCAATAACGGTTAGAATTTGATCACCAATAGAGAAGGTCGTAACGCCTCCAGTAGCAGTGGTCAGGTTTCCTCACTGAATGTTTGTGGTCTCACATATATATGCTAATACAGGAATTAAACAAAATAATATAAATCCAGTATGTAATTAAAATAATTTATTCATTCACGCATACAGTTCCATCAAATTTTTATATATTTTTTAATTCTGTTCAGTTGAACAGAACTGACAAGAAACTCATCTGGTATATTACTGTATTTTTTTAATTTGTCTCATATGTTTAGTGTGTACAGAATTAGTGGTAACGGGAAACCAAAATCCAGATGTTCATGTAACTGAACCACTGTCGCCAAGAACTGAACTGGATATGTGAAAAACTGAACTCTGAACTTTTCATAATAAAATAATCACGTGATCGTGCAGTGTTTTGAATTTTTCAATTTTCTGAACACAGTTTTTAAAGTGGATAATTCGCATTTTGCTTTGGGAAATTGTAGTCAGTTTTTTTTAGTACTATTACTGACTTTTAGTTTAGATTACCTTTTACTGCTAATTCTGTATTTGAAACAAATACAGTATGTACAGAATATTGTAATATAAGATTTAAAATAGTAATCAAAAGAGTATAGTCTCTGTAAGTATTACTATAAATCAGTTATATGTAGGCAGGAACTATGACACTATATGTGCGCTGTACCATGGGGCAGGTGACAGTTTCATTAACGTTTCGCTCTTAAAAGTTGCCGTGATTTACAAATTATGAATTAGTATTTCAGCTGTATCACATCCGTAATATATTAAATGATTAATAACTGTATTAAGTAAAATTTTTTTTTTGTATTCCTTTATGTACACAACTGCAGATGTACCAAAAAATGTTTACAGAATGTTGGAGGGCACTGGCTTTCGTGACACAGGTTTCACCTAAATCGAAAGCCAGGGCTAACTATATTTAATTGTACCGTGCATTTATGAAGAAAATTTAATTATTATTAAAAAAAAAAGATGTAGCAATTGTTAAATGTGAAGTTAATCGCCCGCACCATGTTACAGCGCACTGTATCATAGTATATAATATTAAGTAACGAAACCAATTTGAATCTAACATTCTTCGAGTAATAATAGTATATTTCTATCATAATTATATTTATTTAAGACTAGCTGTACACGCGACTTCGTCCACGTGGAATTTTACATTATTTTTCTAAAATGAAAGTAGCCTAAGTTACTCATTACATCAGCTACCTGCCAAAAAAAGTCCCGTCAAAATCGGTCCAGCCATTTCAGAGATTAGCCGTAACAGACACACAGACAGACAGACAGACAAAAATTATAAAGCTACTGCTTCGCTATATTTGAAAGTACAGTAAATTGAAATAATAAGTATAATTATGATAGAAAATTATGAGTAAATTTAATGAAATTATAATATTTTTGAAAAATTTCACGATTTTGTATATATTGATGAATTCTAACGTATTGATATTGCAATTAGATTGGTTGTAGATTAAATATTTTATATTAATAATGGTCATATTACACTATCAAATGTAATATAGGAGTATGTCTAGAACAAAATATTCTATGAAAATTTAATGGTACCAACACACTTCTACTATATTATAAGTAGAGTGCACAAAAGTTGTGTGTGTGTGTGTGTATTTTAAAAAACTAGCACCGTCTTGTAAGTATGTTATTGCAGGTATAGATAGATTATATATGTATATATTAGATGATCTGGCAAACATTGGTTTGTCATTAAAATTAAAGTACTAATATCGCTATTCAACATAGGGTTTAATGATGAAATGGTGTGAATTTAGAAGTAAATTTTTTAGTGCCACATCATTTTTTTTTTTAAACTTAATTATAATGTTAAGGTCTTCAGGGGTCTTAGGGGTATAAAAAATAGATACAAC